GATATTTTAATAATCGGAAGCTATCCTACTTTTTTTTTTCAAAATAGTGAACTTAAATAATCGTTACCACAGACCCTTTCCAACGCCTCTATTAATAAATACATGTAAAATAAATTTTAAAGCAACTGATTCTAATGATGCAACTAATTATTAATCTAACAGAAAAGTACTCCAATGCAAGATATTTTAATAATCATGATCGGGTCTACAATTCTTTTGAAAATAGCGTCTGAAATACACATTACCAGCATACTCTTCTCCTCTTAACCTTTGCGATTGAATACAACTCAATATAATGATGCAACTAATTTAATGTAATATAGAATTTCTTCGATCTAAAATATTTTAATAATCTTAATTGAGTCTACAATTTTTTTTCAAAATAGCGTTTGAAATACACGTCACCACAGACACTTAACTTCTACGATTAAATACATGTAAAATTCTTTTTAACACAAATCAATCTGATAATGCAATTATTTATTAATTTACTGTAACAGAAAACTACTCCGATGCAAGATATTTTAAATATCTTAAAATCTACAATTTTTTTCAAAATAGCGTTTGAAATATACGTCACCATTAATCTACCATTATTCTTTTCCATTAATCTTCTATGAATTAATTTTGCATATAATTACTCGAACTCATAACTGAATAACTACTCAAATTAATGGCGCAAATAATTATTTATCTAATGTAACAGAGAATCACTACGATTCCAGATATTTTAACCTAAACTATAAATACTTTTCAAAATAGCGTCTTAAATACACATCACCAGCTGTCTCTATTTCACTCACCCTCTACGAATAAATACAAAATTCATTTTAACAAAACTCAAACTAATGAACCAATTAATTATTAATCTAACGCATTAGAGAATTTAATTTGATTCCACCAAACACAAAACATACGGTTACCCAATCAAAAGTTACGTAAAAGCAAATAAAATTACTATTCGATTACTAACCGCATTACACGTATGAAAAAAAAATCAATATTTCTTTTCTTCCAAGCCCTTCAAAGAGGCAGACAATAATCCCGAATTGGGATTCCATCTGCTACAAAAGTCTGCGTTTGGAATAATGAAGCCTCCGCAAAAACTGCCGGCCCCGAGTCTCTCCCAGGGAATTAAGTCCTTTCATCTCTGGTTTCACCAATGATCTCCCCAGAATCCTGCGGGGAATGCTAAACACCATTATCTTCCAGGAAAATAATAAATATCTGTTACGCCATATGCTTCCGCCGCAACTCTTTTCCAACAAGTTCTTTTCCAGGATAAATAGTAAAAAGAAAAAGTAGATTATGTAGGTTTTTTTTTTTTTTTTTTCTTGTTGTTGTTGTTGTTCGTCCCGATGAAGTTGTTGAAATCTTTTTTAGACGTATCGAAACTAAATGAGGAATTATTTTGGGGCTGAAAACAGATAAAAGGAAATCGGGATTTATTGATGAAAATTTGTTTTGATGGTGTTTAACAATTTCGAAGTAAACAGGATTTTCAGATATTTTTGTAAGTATAGTGAACTTCTGGATATTGTTAGCAGCTTTAATGTATAGTGAACTTCTGGATATTGTAGTAGCTTTAATGTTTAACTATTGTGTCCAAAAATAAGAACAGTTTTCAATTTAAATTTCCAGGGCATATGGTATTTCAATTTTTTTTTCTTTTCTAGGTTGTTGGCAATGTCTTTGACATCTGTGTGAAAATTTACGTCGAAAATATTCATTAGTGCTTGAGTTACGCTTGGTTTTGTGAGATGCTGAAACTGATTCCGGGGATTAATGATTATTCATGGCAACTAATTATTAATCTAATGTAATAAAAAATTACTCCGATGCAAGATTTTCTGATATTCGTAACTATTTCTACAATTTTTTTTTTTCAAAATAGCGTCTTAAATGCACCTCTCCAGCTGATTCTTTTCCACTCACCCTCTATGAATAATTACATGTAAAATTCATTTTAATACAACTCAAACTAATGAACCAATTAATTACTAATCTAATTTAATAGAAAATTTAATTTAATTCCACCTAACACAAAACATTCGGTTACCCAATCAAAAGTTACGTAAAAGGCAAATAAAATTACTATTTGATTACTAACGTATAAAAAATCCATATTTCTTTTCGTGCGAACCCTTCAAAGAGGTAGACAATAATCCCGAATTAGGATTCCATCTGCTACAAAAGTCTGCGTTTGGAATAATGAAGCCTCTATAAAAACTGTCGGCCCCGAGTCTCTCCCAGGGAATTAAGTCCTTTCATCTCTGGTTTCACCAATGATCTCCCAGAATCCTGCGGGGAATGCTAAACACCATCATCTTACAGGAAAATAATAAATATCTGTTACGCCATATGCTTCCGCTTCGCAACTTAATTCCAACAGTTCTTTTCCAGGATAAATAATAAAGAGAAAAAGTAGATTATGTAGTTTTTTTTTCTCTCGTCCCAATGAAGTTGTTGAAATCTTTTTTAGATGTATGGAAACTAAATGAGGAATTATTGTGGGGGCTGAGAACAGATAAAAGGAAATCGGGATTTATTTATAAAAAGTTTGTTTTGATGGTGTTTGCTTAATAATTTCGAAATAGGCAGTATTTTCTTGTTATGGTGCTGAAATGGAGAAGATAATAATTTAAAATAGTGATAACAGGTTAAGATCAAATTATTTAAAAAATCTATTAAATGTATTGGAAGATATGATATAATATAATATTGGGATTATAATTCAATTTTAAAATGATATGTATGAAAACAGTATATATATTTATGTACCTCTATTTTAAGAAATATTTATTTACATATATTAAGTACACATATTTATAATACAACTCATTCTAATGATGCAACTAATTATTAATCTAAGCACAAAATTACTCCGATACAAGATAATTAAATAAACTTAACAGGGTCTACAATTTATTTTTTTCAAAATATTGTTTTGAATAAACGTTAGCAGCTGACTCTTTTTAACTGACACTCTGTGAATGAATAAATGCAGGTAAAATTAATTTTAATACAACTCTATATAACGATGCAAATAATCATAAATTTAATGTAACAGAGAATTACTCCGATGCAAGATGTTCTGATAACAGAATTCTGATTGTACAGTGTTTTCAAAATAGCTTCTTAAATACACGTCACCAGCTGACTATTTTCCACTCATCTTCTACAAATAAATATATGTAAAATTAATCTTAATAAAAACTGAATCTAATGGTGCAACAAATGATTAATTTAACGTAACAGAGAATTACTCCAAAGCAAGATATTTTAATAATCTTAACCGAGTCAACAATTATTTTCAAAATAACATCCGTAATAGATGTTACCAGCAGACTCATTTTTACTAATCTACAACGAATAATTACATGTAAAATTATTTTAGCACAATTGAAATTAGTGTTGCAACTAGTTATTAATCTAAACTAATAGCGACTTATTCCGATGCAAGCTATTTTAATAATATTCAACGAGTCTACATTTTTATTCAAAATAGCGCCTTAAATACATCTCACTAGCTAATTATTTTCCCATTCGTCCTCTATGAATAAATACACGTAAAATTAATTTTAACACAAATACTAATAACCGCAACTAATTATTAATTTAATGTAATAAAAAATTACTCCGATGTAAGATATTCTGATCTTCCTAAATAAACATCCCCAGCCGAGACTTTTCCACTCACCATGAATAAATTCATTTTAACACAACTCAAACTAACGACCCAATTAATAGTTAATCTAATGCATTAGAGAATTTAGTTTGAACACAAAATATTCGGTTACCCAATCAAAAGTTACGTAAAAGGCAAATAAAATTACTATTCGATTACTAACAGCATTACACGTATATAAAAAAAACAAATTTCTTTTCGCCCAGACCCTTCAAAGAGCCAGACAATAATCCCGAATTAGGATTCCATCTGTTACAATAGTCTGCGTTTGGAATAATGAAGCCTCCACAAAAACTGTCGGCCCCGAGTCTCTCTCCCAGGGAATTAAGTCCTTTTATCTCTGGTTTCACCAATGATCTCCCCGGAATCCTGCGGGGAATGCTAAACACCATCATCTTCCAGGAAAATAATAAATATCTGTTACGCCATATGCTTCCACCCGCAACTCTTTTCCAACAAGTTCTTTTCCTGGATAAATAATAAAGAGCAAAAAAGTAGATTATGTAGTTCTTTTTTTCTCTCGTCCCATTGAAGTTGTTGAAATCTTTTTTTAGACGTATGGAAACTAAATGAGGAATTATTTTTGGGTTGAGAACAGATAAAAGGAAATCGTTATTTATTTATAAAAAGTTGTTTTGATGGTGTTTGCTTAACAATTTCGAAATAGACAGGATTTTCAGATTGTTTTTTTTATTTTGAACTTTATCCAGAAGTAGTAGTAGTTGTAGTAACTTTAATGTATAGTGAAGTTCTGGATATTGTTAGTAGCTTTAATGTATAGTGTTAACTTGTGGATATTGTGGTAGCTTAAATGTATAGTGTTAACTTGTGGATATTGTGGTAGCTTTAATGTATATTGAACTTCTGGATATTGTGGTAGCTTTAGTGTATAGTGAACTTCTAGATATTGTGGTAGCTTTAATGTATAATGAACTTCTGGATATTATTAGTAGCTTTAATGTATAGTAAACTTCTGGATATTGTTAGTAGCTTTAATGTATAGTAAACTTCTGGATATTGTTAGTGTTGTTGTTGTTGTTTCTTATCCCACTTGGCTGGCCAAGCCCACGAGCCCATACGGCTCATGATTGAAGGGGAAGGAAGCAGCTTCTGTTGTGATGGAGCACCCGTAGGTAGAAGGCTGACTTTTGCTCCGTGACGCTCTTACAGTCATAGGAGACCGGGACCTACGGTTTAAAGTGGATTCCGAACCACTACAAACATCCATGGCACCGCCGGGATTCGAACTCGAAACCTGTGGCACCGAGCGCCAGAGCGCTAGACACTCGGCCATTCAGGTCCCAATTTTGCCAACGGCACGCGGTATTCCCAGGTGGTCACCCACCCAAGTACTGATCGCGCCCAATGATGCTTGACTTCGGTGATCTAACGAGAACCGGTATATTCAGCATGGTACGGCCGTAGACTATATTGTTAGTAGCTTTAATATTATAGCAGTACTTTTAGACTTAGTAATTTATAGCTTTCATTTATGCACGCCATAATTTTTTAAATTATAATTCAGATAAATATAATCACTATAGTCCTGACACATTTGAGGACGGATGGGCAAGAGAGGAATTCAGACAAAATGGTTTACAAAGGAAGAGTAATTATTTGGAAAGTGTAATTGCAAAATATTATGGCTGCTGAATGAGTTAAAATTTAAAAATATTTATTAACCTGCATTTCTTTAAAAACCAAATTTCTATATTTACACATAACATTTCTATATATTACATACAAATGCACGCTTCAAAACATTTGAAATTAATGTTTAACACTTCCTTTTCAGAAAACTTAATTCTCATTTACATTTCAGGAAATACTAAAGCAAATCCAGAATCCACATTATCGATGTCGATTACTTTTAATCGATTCATTTTCTTTCGATATCTCTCCGCGGAGATTCGTCTCCTTCATTAAGCAAATTTCAACTCCATCTCCGGAAATTCCGCGGAGAGCAATTCTCATTAAAAATGAGATCTCCAAATGGATTGGTGGAAATTTTCCTGCATCCAACAAAAGCCTCCGAAAGTGCTTTCGCTTTGTGAAATAATAAAAAAAGTCGTAACATGTCGGTTAAATCAATTGGGAAGTTAGTAATGTTATTTAAATGACGAGAATTCCCAGCCGGAGAGAACTAGAAAGTTCGATAATCAATGATTTGGAGGCTTTAATTCACGGGTAATTACTTCCACTAAATCATTCTGGGAAGAGTGAAAAATGGCTTTCTACAAAGGGAATATTAAATCGCTTATTTTTCCATTTCGTCATTTGATTTTTCCATATTTCATTTAACTTAAAAGACTTTGGTTTTTCCCGATGGAAATAGTCCAATAAAATTAAAAATATTTAATTTTTTATTTTTGTCACATTCAGATTGTGAGTGTTTAATTCTTCAAATTAGCTTATTAGCAATTGCCAAAACCGTGTTGGCAAATTAACATATTAGCAATTGCCAAAACCGTGTTAGCAAATTAACGTATTTTCAATGGCCAAAACCGTGTTAGTTTGCATTGCTGTTTTCAAAAATTCACGTTTAATTTTTCTAATCTATATACTCTCTTTTTCTTTTGATACATAAACTCTTAACAAAACCAATTTTAGAATCTGAATTGGATTATAAACACATTTTAAATGAAGACAAAAAAAGGACAATAAATTAAACTGTTGTTGTTGTCGTATCCCCTGAAGAGTACAAGGAAATCAAAAATCTTGTTGTTCCCGAATAATATAATCTATGTTGATTGCCAACTCGGAGTATAAATCCTCTTCCGAGGGATGGTCCAGACAATATATGGCGGCTGCAACAACTGAGCAATCAGACATGATGAGGAGTAAGTTCGACATCAGGGCAGTTGCCACATTTTTCGTATTTATTAACGCCATTAGCCGAAATTGTCATATTTTTGTAGTGCTTCATCCTTAATCTTGAGAGAGTAGTAGCTGTTTTCCTGTCGATATTTAGTTATGTAATTTGGTATTTAGTTTTAAACTTATGTTTGGTTTGGTTTGGTTTGTTGCTCTACTGTCATCTTGCGCACACTTTGTGCTAAACAGACCGGGACCTACAGTTTAACGTGAATTCCGAACCACAAATAAACATCCATGCCACAGTCAAAATTCGAACCTGGAGCCTGTGGTTCCAAAGGCGGATTTCAATGAAGGAGTGATCATTTGGGAAGTTTAATTGCAAAATATTGTTACTGCTGAATGAATTAAAATTTAAAAATATTTATTAACTTGCACATATTTATTATAACATAAAATCCAAATTTCTATATTTACACATTAACATTCAAATACAAACTTCAAAACATTTGAAATTAATATGTAACACTTCCTTTTCGGAACACTTAATTCTCATTTACATTTCAAGAAACACTAAAGCAAATCCAGAATCCACATTATCGATGTCGTTTATTTTTAATCGATTCATTTCCTTTCGATATCTCTCCGCGGAGATTCGTCTCCTTCATTAAGCAAATTTCAACTCCATCTTCGGAAATTCCGCGGAGAGCAATTCTCATTAAAAATGAGATCTCCAAATGGATTGCTGGAAATTTTCCTGCATCCAACAAAAGCCTCCGAAAGTGCTTTCGCTTTGTGAAACAAAAAAGTCGTAACAAGTCGGTTAAATCAATTGGGAAGTTAGTAATGTTATTTAAATGACGAGAATTCCCAGACGAAAGGAACTAGAAAAGTTCGATAATCAATGATTTGGAGGCTTTAATTCACGGGTAATTACTTCCACTAAATCATTCTGGGAAAAGTGAAAAATGACTTTTTACAAAGGGAATATTAAATCGCTTATTTCACCGTTTCGTCATTGGATTTTTCCATATTTCATTTAACTTAAAAGACTTTGCTTTTCCACGATGGAAATAGTCCATTAAAATTAAAAGCACTAAAATGAAATCACTTGATTTTTGGGTTTCGCCACGTTTTTATGAAATGTTCACCAATTTTCATGAAATGTTGCTGTTGTCGTATCCCCTGAAGAGTACAAGAACATCAAATATCGTGGTGCTTTCGAATAATATTGTTTAAGTTTGATTGCCAGCTCGGAATACAAATCTTCTTCCGAGGGATGCATGGCAGCTGCAACAGATGAGCAATAAAATACATGAAGAGGAGTAAGCTCGAGATCAGGGCAGTTGCCCCATATTTGGTATTTTTTAACGCCGTCATCAGAAATCTTCACATTTTTGTATTGATTCATCCTTGATCATGTGACATTAGCCGTTTTTCTGTCGACATTTAGTTCTGTAATTTGGTATTTAATTTTAATCTTAGTAATTTGGTATTTAATTTTAATCTTAGTAATTTGGTATTTAATTTTAATCTTAGTAATTTGGTATTTAATTTTAATCTTAGTAATTTGATATTTAATTTTAATCTTAGTAATTTGGTATTTAATTTTAAGTTTAGATTTTGCCAAGGCATTTGCATCTGCAAGGGTAGAAAGAATGGTAGTATGATCCAGACTTCTGCAAACAGTGTATTGTAATTCTGCGCAAACAGTGTATTTGTTCTGAAAGAGATATAATGATCACACTTAAGAAACCTTTATTAAAGACTGCAAGGCAGACCTCCAGTCAGCGAATATAGCAATTCCATTCATTTGTTATGATGGAAGTAGACTCGGATAAGCTTCAAGTATCTTTTGAATGGCCAGAAGATCTCTACCTTCATCTGTTAGGCGTAAATAAATGAACTAAATCAACATAACCATTTACAGAAAACGTAGTAATTGGATATTATTCCTACTAAATCTGTTCAATCACGATGGTCAAGGCAACAGTTAATTGGCGGTCTGAATCACCGCCTTAGTTTACTTTCAAAAATATTTTCACAATGCCCTGACACACATTTAAGCTTTTAGTAGTACGTTTCACTAATTTACGGCATTTCGCAATTGAATTTACACAGCAGGACTTAATTTTGTTCTGTGTTCATACTTCTGAAATTCAAAAGAAAGAAATAAGTTCTTTAACATCTTTTAGGATAATGATATGAAAGGTAAGACCATGGTGAAAGACATATGCCACATTTACAATTATGGCCGATGGCTAGTAATTTATTCAAAAAATGTTAATCTGGTAGAAGTAAATAAAATCGATTGATTCAACGTTTAACATTTTTTTGTGTAATTTAATGCAGCGACTTTTCCAGTTCATAATTTGTGATCAATTTCCAGATCATTCCTATGACAACACTGGATCTGGACATGATGGTATTCTATAATGAAACGATATCCTCGAGATATATTAAAATGACCAAACTTAGATTTGAGGAATGTCATTATAATAATTGAGTCTCATTAGCTTCGATTCAAAAGTTCTATGCTCAATTACAATTTTTTTCTTAATCAGAATGTTTTTAAAAATGGCCCTTCGTTGAAAGAATCGGTATCACAATTTGCTGTCATTAAGTAAATTGTTTTTTCTTCAAATACAAATCAAATGTAAATCTATTTTAATAAGAGTGCCTTCATTAAAGTAATTTTTCCTTTAGGTAATATAATGTGGCAAACTTTTGCTGATGCAAATGAGAAAGATGAAAATTGCTAAAAATGGGCCAATTTTTTGGCTAATGACGTCAAAGCAGTGAACGATTAATAATAAAATGATTTTTATATTTTATCGAATTGCCTACTTCTTAATTTTTATAAAATGACATTGTCTATTGATGTAGAAATTAGTTTGCTTAGAATTGTCAGTAACGTGAAAACAAATTATGCTTTAAAATCACAGTTTTGAAAATGTTTACTAATACCATACATTAAATTAAATTTATGTTTCACAGAAATGAATCATCTCACAGTAGTTTAAAATAAACTATTTTTATTTGACGCATAAACAGATAAATTCCTTCAAACAATATTTTATCAATTTAAATAAATAAGAATCCTTATAATCGAAAAGTATTTTGAAAATTAAAGGATTATGAAATTGATTAATAATGAAATAAATCTAGAAAAAGTAATTGCATAAAATTAATAAGATAAATGTGGTATACACCTCATCCATTTATTTTGTGAATACATATAAATACAAGCAAGAGTTTCTACATTAAATACCGAAAGCTTTATAAAAATCTAAAATAAGAGGGAAATGGTATGATTAAAAATACAGCTTTTATTAAATAGACTAGATTTATGGAAAACCACTTGAAAATATATTTAATTCTAATTTAATTCTATACTATATTTTCAAGTGGCCATATTTAATTCTGCCGAATATATTAAATATTTAATTATATAATTCTGCTTATATTTAATTTATATTTATATAAATTAAATTATATATATATATATCTTGTGACGTTTTTATCTTAATTAGACGATGGCTTGCGCTTTGGCACCGGTGTCACAGGTTTTGGCTTTCAAGTCCCAGAGGTGCCTTGGATGTTTCTAGTGG